TATGTAAGGCTGGTTGGTAAAGATTTCAGGTTCTCTCAGGTTTTATTTTTGAGGGAACTGATGGCTTCAGATCAGCTATCCAGGAGCACCCACAGAAGGCCAAGTCAAGTTCTAGTTAGGAGCACTCAGGTTTCCTTCTAAGGCTTGACCCCGCCACATGGAGGCAGGATCCATGTGCTCTCAGGCAGTCTCCTGTGTTCTGAGGCCCTGTGGCAGAGGGAGGCCAGAACCCGGCACTCTCTGGCCTTGTGCTAAGATCAGAGCCACTACGCCAATGGAGGTTGGAGTCCACCCTCTTAGTCTGCTAAGATCTCCTAATTTGTTTAATTAAAAATGTATTTTATTTTAAATTATGTATATGTGTGTGTGTGGGGTATGTGCATATGAGTGCTGGTACCTGCTGAATGGTCTGGGATTCCCCTGGAGCTGGAGTTGTGAACTGCTGGACTTGAGGTCTGGGAACCAAACTTAGGTCCCCTGTAAGATAGCTCTTAACTGCTGAACCATCTCTCCAGCTCTTAAGTTGCTTAATTTTTTTATGTATCAGATAAAAATAAAATTAAACAATGTCAGAACAGACAAACAAGTGAAGAATGGTTTGTAATGTATATTTTGACAAACTTTCTGGCTATTTTCAATGCATGCTAAAGTTTATGAAGCTGAATATCAGATGACTATATTTGAATTTATCCCATTCAAAGGCAAGTAAATTGAGGATCAAAAAGAAAGAAGGAGAAATTGGATGCCCAGAGATAGGAGAGTAGAATGATTTGACTGTCTCTGGTTAAATATAGTGAAAACTTGTTTAAAATTTTTATTGAGAGCTGGAGAGATGGCCTAGGGGTTAAGAGCATTGGCTACTCTTGTAGAGGACCTCGGGTTAGGTTCCTACATGGCAGTGAACAACTGTTCATAACTCCAGTTTCAGGGGATCTGATGCCCTCTTCTAGCTTCTGAAGGCATGCACATATGTGGTGCACTTACATACACGCAGGCAAAACACTTATACAAGTAAAATAAAAAAAATTATTGATATGAGTTCCAAAGTTCTCAGCAAAATTTTTAAAGAAGTATTTTTATTCTTTGAGAATTTCTTAAAATGTATTTTGATCATACTTAACATGCCCTTAGCAAAAATATTTGATGGAATATGGTAAAGGGAGCAGTTGTGAGAAGGAATTTGCAGTAAATTACTTTCAGAATTCTGTAGATGTATGAACCACCTGCACATTTTCTCTGAATAGTGGGAGACATCTGAGAAGGGCCCAGCAAAAACACAAGGGCCCTATTTGAGGCTTCAGAAGATAGAATTTTCTAGTCAATACAGTCTCTTCAGTCATCAGGGTAATTGACCTTTAGAGATAGAAACTGTCTATGGTACCTATTTGGGAAAGCAGACTTGTTGGCACTAACTCGTGTGCATGAGGCTGTTCCAGGAGACACACAGAGATCATCTTGTTTTGAAAGATTTTCCCACATCCTGAAGGTTAGGATCTTTCTCCATGCTGCCTTCATATCCTTATTTCTCAGTGTATAGATGAGTAGGTTAAGCAGTGGGGTGATGACACAATAGAAGAAGGACACAAACGTGGCTTGAGTGACCTTGGATGGAGATTGGAGGCACATGTAGATGCCTGGTCCAAAATACATGGTGACAACCAGTAAGTGGGAGCTGCAGGTACTTAGGGCCTTGTGCCTTTCCTCAGCTGCAGGCAACTTAAGCACAGTCCTAACAATGAAGGTGTAGGAGATGAGTACAATCAAGGGAGCCACCATACCAAAAGGGATAACTACTAGGGTCAGGGACAGGTTATTCATTGTGGTGTCACCACATGCCAGCTTAAGCAGATCAGGTACCTCACAGAAATGGTCCAGCGTACATTGACCACAGAGTGACAGCTGGAGTGTGAGTGTGACTTGGACCAGAGAATTGGCCAGGCTACTGGCCCAGCATACAGCTGCCAGCCATAAACATGCCCAGGGGTGCATGATGAGAGCATACCTGAGTGGTTGGCATATGGCCACATAGCAGTCAAAGGCCATCACTGCCAGCAAGGCACATTCCATGCAGCTGGTCCACTGGAAGAGGTAGGCCTGTGTGATGCAGCCCCAGGAGGCAATTATCTTCACTGGTCCCCAGATGTTGTCCAGCAGCTGTGGGACAATGGTGCAGGTGACACAGAGGTCCACCACAGAAAGGTTGTCCAGGAAGAAGTACATGGGTGTCTGGAGCCTGGGATCCACCAGTGAGAGAAGGATAATGGAGTTATTTTCTATCAGGATGAAGATGTAGGAAACCAAAATGACTCCAAAGAGGGGACTCTCCAATCGTGATCTGAAAAGCCCATCAAGGCAAATGTGTTGGGGAAACTCGATTTCCTCCTTCCATGGTTTGCTGCATTCTATATGCCTATAAGAAAATAGCCAGATATTTAGGTTAAACAAGACTATTCCATTTCATTACTCCATGATGTCATCCTCAAAATTTCCACTGCATTGATGAAATGTTCTCCACAACCATTTTGAGTAGTCTCTGATGTCTGGCTAATTTCATTTAGTGCCCTGTACTTAACTTCAAGTAGAGTTAGAATTTTGTATTCTTTGACCACTGTCCTCCAAGTCTTGTGAACTCTAACTGCCTCAGCCCATGGTAACCCCTTTCTACATTCTGTGAAATTAGCTATTTTAGAGTCTGCATATGAATGATATGGAGAATTTTCCTTTTTACACCTCACTTCTGTCAGAATGGCCACTATTATAGGTCAAAATAGCAGATACTTCTGAGGCTGTGGAGGAAAAGGAACTTGAATAATATTGTGGGAATATGAGTTAGTGCAGGCACTATGGAAAACCATATGGAGATTCATCAAGGAGATAAAAATAGAACTATAATATGATCCAGCAATCCCACTTTGAGTCATTTATATATAAAGGAAATTAAATAAGTGAGTTGGAGGGACACCTTCACACCTGTGTTTATTGATGTTTACTGCATTCACAGTAGCCAAGAAAGACAAACAACTTAAGAGTTCATCCAAGGATGAATGTGTAAAGAAAAGGAGGTGGATACACACAGTGGAATAATATTCTTCAATAAAAGGACATAATGCAATTTATATAAAAGTGAGTCTGAGTAACACTATCCTGAGCAGAATAAGCTTGACACAGAAGGGCAATTTTTCTTTGCAATGAACTTCAGTGCTTTACTGTGCAACATGGAGAGTCACATTCTAAGTTTTTTTTTTTTTTTTTTGCTTTTGTCAATTTGTGTAAAGAATTTTATCTGTATAATAACATCATTGAAAATGATTTTGGTTTAGTTCATTCACCAAATTTTGGGGATAGTACACTTAGAAGAATTCTTCAAGACCTAAGCAATGTGTTAAATGCTCAACCATGAAGCCACTTGTTAATATAATGTATGGCTTGTTACCTATTACCTGAATGATCCTGCTACCATAGGCACCCAAACTAATCCATTCTTCATAATAAACTGCTTGAGTAATATTCAGAAATTATAATGCTCATTTTATCTTTTTTATTTGAAGGTTCATGTGGCACCCAGGCCCATCTCTGATTTTGCTTCTGTGTTAATATATACTTTCATCAAACTCATGTTCTTCCCCACTAGTTCAAGCCTCAGATAAAAGCATAGACTTCTGGTGGTATATGCACACAATCTTAGCTCTTTGGATGCTGTGGCAAGAGGATCACAAGTTCAGGACCAGCATGGGTAACATAGTAAGAGAATTTCAGGCTAACATAGGGCTACATTATGTACAGAGTCAAACATTGTCAAAATTATAGACTTTTCACTGACTCCTTTGCATATTGTAGTTTTAGTCTCTTCTATTAAATTATCTGCTATGGACTCCTGTCATTTGTGATTCCTGCCTAAGTCAAGCATCATTTTCTCTACAAAACTTCCTATCATCTTTTCATTTTGTTTCCATATTATAAATATAGTTTTTCATCATGGTCTCTCCTCTGCCTTCTGAGCACTTTGGGAATTTGATCTGTGATTAGATTTCCCTTACCTCCCCAATACCTACCATTGGCCTGCAGCAATTATTTGATAAATTCATGAATGAATAGGTAGATGCTAGGCTTACTTGGGTTGGAATATCTAATTAGCTTCCAGTGTTTCACAGCAAAAGCCTTCAGTCAGACTCTTGATTTCCCAGGAGGAGACAAAGAAAGGGGTAGAGGCTTGGCAGTGTGCACATCAGTAGCCCTTTGATGTTTCTATACCTATAAACCCTTTTCCCCAGGTTAGGAATCTTAGTACCTGGAAGTCTTTTAGCTGGAGATTCACAGATAGTGTTCTCAATAGGTTGCCTGTCAGTGTCTGTGAGAGGGAAGGAACTACTGTAGGTATTGTGGCCTGAGCAGCAGCTGGATTCTAACATTACACTCTTACATTCTCATCCTTTTTGTTATATAAAAAAACCCAGAGGAATGATTTTTACAGTCAAGGGAAGTAGAGGAAAAGTCCCAAGGGACAATGGATGTTGACATGAGTCTAGCTTCTGAGCTGAAACTGAATGTTTGTAAGATTAAGGAATGTTTGTAAGATTAAGGTGTTGGTTTCTGAGGCAGAGGCTGGTATATTTGCACATTGGGAAGATGTTATTGAGTTCAAGTAGTGCATAGTATTCTGAATGAACTGGGTCAGCCTGCAGATTAAAGAGGGGTCTACCTATGAATTCAAGAGTCAAAAGTGTTATTAAAGGAGTCACCACAAGTATAAGTCAGTATAAGTACTTGTTCTTTTTGTGGAGGGTGAGATGTGTGAGAAAGATCCAGAAAAAAGCACAAGGGTCCTATGTGAGACTTCAGAAGATAGAAGTTTCTAATAAAAAGAGTATGTTCAGTCATCAGAGTGATTGACTTTGAGATGTGGGAACCTTGTCCGTGGCACCTATATATTTGGGAAAGCAGATTTGACAGCTAATTAATTTGATTGATTTGGGTATGTTGTTCCAGGAGACAGGCAGAGATCATCTGACTTTGAAAGCCTTCCATCCGTGCTGGGCTGGTAAGATCCTCCTCCACGCTACTTTCACATCCTTGTTTCTTAGAGTGTAGATGAGTGGGTTGAGTAGTGGTGTGATGACACAATATAAGAAGGACATGAACTTGGCCTGAGTGCTGTTGGCTGGAGGCTGGAGGTATGTGTACATGCCTGGTCCAAAGAACATGGTGACAACCAGCAAGTGGGAGCTGCAGGTGCTGAATGCCTTGTACCTTCCCCCAGCTGAAGGCAACTTGAGAACAGCTCTAGCAATGAAGGAATAGGAGATAAGCACAATCAGGGGAGCTACCATTCCAAAAGGGATAGCTACCAATTTCAGAGCTAGGTCATTAGCAGTAGTATCACCACATGCCAGCTTTAGCAGAGCAGGCACCTCACAGAAGAGGTGGTCCACGATATGGTGCCCACAGAAGGGAAGTTGGAGGGTGAGTGTACCTTGGAGCAGAGAATTGGCCAGACCACTGGCCCAGCATGCAGTTGCCAGCCACACACATGCCCAGAAATGCATAATGAGAGTATACCTGAGGGGTTGGCAGATGGCCACATAGCGATCAAAGGCCATTACTGCCAGCAGAACACATTCTGTGCAGCTTGTACAGGTAAAAATATAGACCTGTGTGATGCAGCCCGAGGCAGCAATTGTCTTCTCTGGTCCACAAAGGTTTGACAGCATCTGTGGGACAATGGCACAGGTGACACAGAGGTCCAGCATCGAGAGATTGTCTAGGAAGAAGTACATTGATGTCTGTAGTCTGGGCTCCACTAGTGAGAGGAGGATGATGGAGCTGTTTCCCATCAGGGTTAGAATGTGGGAAACCAGGATCACTCCAAAGAGGGGGAGCTCCAGCCATGGATGATCTGAGAAACCCACCAAGAGGAATGTTTTTGGAAAACTCACATTTTGTCCTTCCATGGCTCTCTGCATTCTATATGACTGGAAGGAAAGAGACAAATTTTGAGAAGACTTTTCCATACCAAGGACTATGACCTCACCCTTGCCGCTCCTGCTGTATTGATGAGATACTCTCCATAACCATTTTGAGTAGTTCTTCAATACCTTGTGGATTCCATTAGTACCTGGCAGTTAACTTTAGAGTTAGAGCTTGAATATCCTAATCATAAGAGAAATCCATGAACTCAACTTGGAATTTGATTTGCTCTCTCCCTTATAGTATCCCTTTTTATAATGTCTCTATAACATTCTTTCTGTCGTCCCCTTCATTGATACTGTTATCATGTCACCTGAAAGTGTCATGCGGTCATTCGTCTGGCTTATCTCTTTCCATAAGGTATTCAAGGGAAATTCTTCCTGATATTTAAGTGCAGGTAGGTGAAGGATGTTGGGACTGAGATGACAGGTTGGAGGTTGAGACTTGTTAATACATAGTTCTGTGAACTCTCTCTACTGGGATAGGCTCAGATGAAGTTAATTTTAGAAAATTATCTCCTTTAAAATTAGTTTATTATCTTTATTTTATGTGTATGAGTGTATTTCCTGCATGTATGTAAGTGTATTCACGTTGTGCAGTGCCCACAGAGGTCAGAAGAGGACATCAGATCCCCTGGAGCTGGAGTTACAGATGGTTGTTAGCCTCCATGTGGGTGCTGGGAATTGAACCAGGGTTCTTTGCAAGAGCAGTCAGTGGCTCTTAACCATTGAGTCAGCTCTCCAGTTCCAAATTATTTCCTTTTTATTACAAGTTTTATCTTAGTAATGTGTGTATGATATTAAATTTTCTATTTTAACTATGTTTAGATAGTTTCATTCTATTAACTGCATTTACACTCTTGTTCAGCTCTCATCACCATCCATCTCTATAATCTTTACATCCATGAGACTCAAACTGTAATAAATAATGTCCCTTTGTCCATGCTAATTCCAGACCTTGGCACCCACCATTCTACTTTCGTATTATGTGATCTTACTTGTCTAAGTACCTGAGAGAAAGGTATTTATTACACGGTATTTATAACTTTGCATTGACTTATTTCACTTACATCATGTTATCCAGATTCGTTTATGCTGTAGTAAAGTCAGGATTTCCTACCTTTTTAAAGGCTGGTTACCATTGCATTCTATGTATGTAGTACTTTCTTATACATTCCCATGTGAGTTCCCTTTTGAGTGCTTCTGTATTTTGGCTAGTGCAAATAACACTGTTAGGAATATGGTGCTCCAAATACCCCTTTGAGACTCTGTTTCTAATTCATATATATAATTATATATATGTTTTATTGAGCTTTTGTAATTTCATACAACAGTTCTTTATTAAATTTATACCCCTTCCCCAACCATGTGTCTCCCCCCACCCACTGGACCTCATGTATTCTGCTATACATGTTAAGTCCTATCCATTCAGGCATTTTTACCCAAATGTCCTTCAGTGTAAATCTATCAATGGGAGTCTAGTCAACCCATCTAGAGATTGTATGTAAGGTGTATTCTTTCTCACTCAGCAGCAGTCAGTCTCCAATAGTTTTAAGTCTAGTGTAGGTCCACCACCTATTTCTCTCCTCCCCTTTGGGCCCTTGTTTAATTGAGTTGGCATGTGTCCTGTGCTTGGTGCCACCATTGCCACAAGTTCACATGTGCAAGCTTCCAGTGTCCTGAAAGACTCTGCTTCCCTGTGTTCATGAACCAGCTGTGGCTCTTAAAATCTTTCTGCTCCCTCCTCTGCAATGGTCCCTGAGCCGTGGGTGGATGAGGCTCCATATAGGAGTCCTATCCTACACTCTGCAGCCTCTTATTCTTTAAAATTTGGTCAGTTGTGGCCCTTTGTGTTGTATAAGGAAGCTTTACTGGTGAGGGTTGAGGGATGCATTAATTTTTCTCTACCCCTTGTTCCTCTATGTTCTGTGAGCCTTAGTTGTAGAGGTTCAATTGTAGATGTGTCCTCTAGTACTGGGCATCTCTCAGACGTATGTTCTCTGTGTCTGACCAGATGTGCAAATCTGCAGTAGCTTCCATCTGTTGCAAAAAGAAGCTTCTTTGATGAGTGGTGTATGGTATGCTTGTTTGTAAATATAAGGATTGATATTTAGCATATAGTAAGAAGTTTCATTTGTCTGGAGATATGGAAGATGTAGGGTTTGCTCTAGAGTCTTTGTTCTCTCCTGCCATGTGTATTTGGCTGAGTTAACAGTGTCACCTTGAGTTCCAAGGAAGGGAAAAGGAAACCCACTTGAGTGGGAGAAAATCTTCACCAGCTACACATCTGATAGAGGATTAATATCCAGAATATACAAAGAACTCAAACCCCCGAAGAAATAAGAAAATAAACAACGCAATAAAAAGATGGGCTATAGACCTAAACAGAGAGTTCTCAAATGAAGAAATAAATATGCCTCCTTAAAAAGTGCTCAACATCCTTAGTAATTAGAGAAATGTAGATAAAATTCACTTTAAGATTCCATCTTACCCCAGTCAGACTTAAGATCAAGAGAATGAAAGGCTCCAAATGATGGAGAGGATGTGGAGAAAGAGGAATGCTCATTTACTGCTGGTGGGGATGCAAGTTTGTGCAACCACTATGGAAAGCAGTGTGGAGAACCCTCAAAAAATTAAAAATGAACCTACCATATGATCCAGTGATACCACTCCTTGGCATATACCCAAAGTACTCATCATACTGTAGAGAAGATACCTGTACATCCATGTTTGTTGCTGCTCTCTTCACAATAGCTAAGAAATGGAAACAACCTAAATGTCCTTCACCTGACAAATGGTTAATGAAAATGTGGTACATCTACACAAGGGAGTTCTAATCAGCAGTAATAAAAGATGAAATTAAAAAATTTGATAGTAAATGGATGGAACTAGAGAGTATTGTACTAAGTGAAGTAACGTAAATTCAGAAAGGCAAGCGGTGTATGTTCACCCTCATTTGCAGATTGTAGCACAAATTCCTTATACATGAGTATATAAATTCTGATGTAACACCTGGTGCCAGGAGAATGGAAAGGCTACATGGAGGTAAAGGAAAAGAAAGAACCTGAAAGGGAGATAGTAGGGAACTGATGTTACTGGGGGAAGGTGGGGAAAGTGGGAGTATTCAGCAGAGAGGAGAGGAGGAAGGGACATGCACGGGGCCATGGTGTGTGTGGGGGAGGGAAGTCAGGAGATGGAGGATGGTGGTGTTATTGGGGAGAAAGTGAGGATAATGGGGGCACTGGGACTAGGGAGGGAGGAGGGAGGCCAAATGGGAGAAAATGAGAGTAGAGTTGAATGAATCTTGGGGGCTAGGAAACTGAGAGGGAATTGTGATGCCCTTGAAACCCCATGAGAAATACACATACAGTGTCTGAACATTAGTGCTGCTTGGCAAGGAATACAGTGCCAGACAGATGAGACCTCCCTTTGAGTGGTTGGTGAAGGTGGTCCAGGATACTCCTAAAATAACACAGGCTATTGCCAAACCTCTTGGTTATCTCCCAGAACTAATAGATAACACTCTATTGCTGCAGACAGGACATACTTCAGATACAGGACTTTGAAGCAATGGAGCAGGAATTGACCTGGAAGCCTTCTAGCTGAAGTTTGGCTATCATAATGCTAGATGACGCTATGCAAACTGCCAAGGGAGAAAAACAATCAATGATCCAACCCAGCCCTAAAGCCTAATAACCATAATGACTGGCATGGCAAACTACCTCTACTGGTGCAGTTAGTGGCATTGTTATCTGGGAGGGTGGGGGACAATCAACAGCTATCTAATTGGACTTAAAGCCCTCTCAATGGGTGGCACTGTAAACTGAGTCAAATATCTATATTTATAATTCTTTCAAATACACAATAAAAACTCAAATAAATATAAAGAAAAAAGTATTGTACCTTATGGTAATTCTGTTTTTCTTTTCTTATGCCATATTCCAGAATCTCTGTATATACATTTCCATCACCAGTGCCTAAGAGTGTTAGTTTTTCTGCAAATAACTTTCTCATAATGAAATTTATGATACAAGATCAGTCAATTTTCTTACTCACACTATATGAAAAGTCACCTTTCTGGATACTTTCAAAATTGTCTGTGTGTTAGGTTTTCTCCAGTGTGATTTTAATGTGCTCATTCTCTTTGATTACGCTGGCTCCCTTAAACGGTACACTCTTGTCTGTAACGGAGTGAGCATATTTTGGTTCATGGTTTCTTCCAGTTTTGAGTCTGTTCCTCTCTTTCCTCTCCTCGGACTCTCACATTGCTTTGTTAGTTTGGCTGATGGCCCCAAAGGTCCTTGTGCCTGTTTGATTTTCTGAAGTTTTTTGTCTGTTCTTCAGCTTAGATGCTTAATTTCCTAACTTCCAGTTTGCTTATTTCATGTATTGTGTGCTAAAATCTGTGTTTGGATTTTTCCAGTGGTTTTTTTTTTTAACATAATCAAGGGATGAAATTTTAATCAGCCAAGAGAATGAAATCATAAACAAAATGTAAATTACTTCTGTCCTAAATATCATTTATCTCTCAGATTGTACAATAATGTAAATTTCCAATGCCATGTATGAAGCTGGGAATTTCCCAGAATACAGATGAAGTAGCTACCTAAGATTTTTTTTTTTTACATTTTATTTATGTGGGTTTTTTTCGATGGGAGGGGGAGGAGGCACATGTGTGCCATAAAGTGTGTGTGGAGGTTAGAGAAAAACTTCAGGAATCAGTTTTCTCCCTCTACCACGTGGGTCTCAGAGATGGGACTCAGGTGGACTTGGCTGCAAGAGCCCTTACCCAATGAGCCATCCAGTTGGCCCAAAACTCTTCTTTCTTATTTTTAAAATTTCTTTTATTTATTTATTATATATATTTATTATTTATTGTTTTTTATTTTTTTGTATTTTTGAGATAGGGTCTCCCTGTAGCCCCAGATATCCTGGAACTCACTATGTAGACCAGGCTGGCTTTGAACTCATAAAGATCCACTTGCCTCTGTCTCCCA